TCAATGTGCTTTTGCTCTTTCATATCTCTGTTTGGAGATTTAAATGAATGGCTGGGATTGCTTAGTGGCCATTGTTTATTTCTAGGATCTCTTCCATATTATAGCTATATAGCATGTATGACAGGGGTGGCAAACTCTGGCCCTCCAGCTGTGGTGAAACTACAAATCCCATGATGCATCTGCCTCTGCGAGTCGTGCCCATTGCTGTGAGAATCTTGCAAAGCCTCAAGGGACTTGTAGTTCCACAACAGCTGGAGGGCCGGAGTTTGCCACCCCTGATGTATGAGGTCTGAAAATGTAAATCTGCTTTACAATAGTAACATCCAGTGTTGTATTTGCTGTTTTTCTACAGAAGAAACGAGCTACTCTTCTTACTCCCAATTACGTGGAGCTCGCTGTAGTAGTAGATAATCTGCGGGTAAGAAATTGATATTACCATTACATTATTGCTAAGCATTAAACCTTTCACTGCCACCCACACAGGGCTTACATTGGGGGCAGCACAGGCTTTTAGACACAGTGCTGGCTTCTATAGCAGCCGGAGTGTGTTTACATTTCACAAGTCTACTGTTGGCTTTCCGGTAGAAGTGATTAATTTCTACACAACAACCCCCCCACCACATCCGAACCCCACCACCGACCGTCTGATTACCCTCTTGTGGACCCAGGACCAGCAATGCAGGTGTTCCATTCTCTGATCATCACCAAATGAAGGTGACAGCGACAAGCATTTCATCACTTACGGTTTCTGATCTGTCATTTCACGGACACAGCTACTGCCCCCATTTTATTCTCCAGTCTCTGCTGTCAGAATATATAAAATCATGGAGAATTTTAACTAATCGTCATTCTACAGGCCTAATATGTGCATTTTAATCTGTGTGCAAATAAAAAATAAAAAATGGATTTGACAGTGAAGGGTTCAAGGGAAACTGTTGTTTGGTTAAAGAGAAAAGAAGAGAAAACCTTCCATGTAAAGTATATACCTGCTTATGTTCTGTAGATTTTGAGGTAGGCCTTGTCAGCACTTACTAAAAGTGATGGCTAAGCTGAAGGATCTGCTTTCACTATTCCCCCCTGATCAGACTACGTGTTACAGTAAAGAAAGCTGCAGCTTCAGAGTACTTTTATACCTACAAGAGTCTTTGAAAATATATTGCTAAAGGCGAATCTCCAATTACATGGGATGCCTGTAATCGGGCTGCCATTTGGGAAAAGCACTGATCTAATTTCATGAATAGGGGAATGGTAATTCTAGAAAGTCCAAAATACTGTTGTCATAGTTGGAAATGTTATGTATTGGATGTTTCAAAAACCATTTTTGGCAATTTGTTTGTTAGCACGCTGTTTATATAGACATACTGTAGGTGCAACAACCATTCCTATATAATATACTGGGATTAGTAGTTCTGCCACTAGGTGGTAGTATTGTTTAAAGAAAATTTTGATGAAACCTTTCAGTGGGGCTACCCCTGCATTGAAGGGTATACGGGTATATGATCGGGTATACTCACCCGATCATTTCAGCCTGTTCTTAGACCGGTCCCTCGAGCCTCTCTCCCCCTTCTCTGCAGTGGTCTAGGAATCCTTGTGTCATCACACTGTATACAAGTGTACAGATGTGAGGACGCTGAGCAACAGAAGATGAGGAGACATGCTTCAGTGACTGGAGAAGCAGGGAGTTGGCAGTTCGGGTGAGTATAACTCTTTTTTAGCACCTAGCCCCACTGCAAGGGTTAATAAAACTTTTCCCTGGATTTCTTCTGAAATATTTGCTTAATGTAATGTTCCTTCAAGTGGAACTACACAGTTATGGTACAATTTTCTATCTCCGTGTTCCAATAAAACAAGAAGGGCTCATTCATATGTCCAGCACCATCTGACTGGTAAGAGATCTTATCTGCAGGAGATTTCCAAGATTTTTCATGACGTTTTATCTCTTTTCCAGTACAAAATGGACAATTCCAACAGTACAGCTGTAGAAGTGCAGACCATAGAACTGATCAACATTGTTGATGGGGTAAGTTTTTTTTTTTTTATAGATGACCTGGAATTGTAAAGGGAGCCAAGAAAGTTAAACCTCAGTTATGAGGAATGATGAACTAATAAGAAGTACTTGAAGTGGAACTAAATCCACATATGAAACTCTGTCTTTGTAATGCAATGATTTATAGGTATGTTTTAAGATGCCTCCTGCCTCCTTCATACAGAGACAAATAGGACCCCTTAGTGTACAGCATAACAGCCAATATCCAACTTCCCAATGTCACAAGATGGCTGCCATTGTGACACTTCCTCTATCACCTTCACATTCCATGTATGTTCCTGGCACAGCAAGGTAGAAAGTCTCCAAATTCAAAATATAATATTTCGGTGATTTAATTTGGGAGTGATAATATTGGGCTAGGAAACTTTCAGTTTAAAGTGGAACTAGATCCACCAATTTAAATATCTCCCAAAAACTGTTACTTGCAATGCATGCCAACTGTCAAGGTTGCAATTGTGCTTATTTCAGTTCCTAAACGAACTTTAAGGCCCTCCAATGGCTGGTGTCATAGCTGATCACATGTGCAGCACCATGGCAACTGAAATCCAAATAGAGGCCAAGATGGCGCCTTCCTTGGCTGTAAAAGATAAAAGGTAGTTCTGCTCTTTAAAAGAGAACTATGGCCCAACCTTTTTTTTGGCATAGTTTTCTTTAGGGTCACAGGAGGACATATACTAATGTTCTCCTGTGACCCAAAATTCAACAAATAGTGGGCCATTACCCGATATATACTGACCACTCAGAGCCCTGCTGCAGCTGGGACGGACCCCGACAATATCGTCAGAGTCCACCCCGCTGCCTGATTGACAGCTGGCAGTGCCTCTCTAGAGGCAGAGCCAGCTGTGCCCGCCCCCTCCCTGTCCGTCCCTCCAGTCAGCACTGGAGGATCGGAGAGGGGAGGGGGGAATCCCTGCGGGGAGCAGCAAGTGACTGACAATCACTGCTCTCTGCAGGGAGAAGATCAGGAACTGAACGATCAGCGGTAGGTTATCGCACAGTTTTTGATTAATAGAGCCAACATGTGACAGCTGTATTGTCACACATCGGCTCTAATTATGGAGATTTAATTCTCCTTTAAATGGATTTTAACCTACCTGGACACCTGACCTAAACATACCTATAGGCCCTAACAATGGACTATTATTTCCTCCCTTGTTTGCTCCATTTGAAAACATTTGTATCTGTTTGACAAGTGCAAAAATATACTTGCTAATCTTGTCAGAAATTCCAGACTGTCCTTTGTACACCTTCTGTGTTATCTCAGGGTGTCTAATTAGCTCTCCCCGTTAATCTTGGGGTTACAAAGCAATTAGTCCTTATGCAGGGGAGAATAAGATTGGTGGGAGGGTTGCAGTAGTTTGGGAAAAAACAAGATCGGCGGACACAATTCAGAGCTGAGTGCATTTCTGGCAGATCAGCGTTCTTTTTTCTGTACTTTCAGGGTCCTTCATGGGCAGAGCCCTATAATGATCCATTCTGAGGCTGCTGCTTCAGGTGGCATTTCGGTCACATGGGGTGGTGAAAAGGATAGGAACACCCCTGTTCATGGGGATAAGACATGGAGAAATATTTTTTTTTTCATCATTTGAGCTTGACATACATTAAAGTGAGGCTGCTCTTAGGGAAATTGAAGTCACATACCTGGTACTGGTAGTATGGGGAGCATGTGGTTCACTTATTGTACTTCCAAACTATAGTTTTTCTCTTATATTATTGAGAAGTGGTTGTGGGGCCAAAATAGAGATATAAGCTGCAGGACATTTAGCAGATACATGTCCAAATAAAATTTACACCTGTTTAGCGGATATGTTCATCCCATGGGTCAGCTTGAATGTAAACCGTTTTGAAGGACAGGTCTTTACACATTTGGTCCTTCTGATACACACACAAACAATGTTCTGATTCTTGATTTGTCTTCTGCTCTTCTATAGATGTTTCAGCCTTTGAACATTCGAATTGTTATAACTTACTTGCTGACATGGATCACGCAAAATCCCTTTGATGTTAGCACTGGGTCTGCCGGCGATGTCCTGGGGAGATTTGTTCAGTGGAGAGAAAGCACTCCGGGTCTGAAGAGATGTGACATCTACCACCTTCTCATGTGAGTGATCTTGCTAGCCACCCATGTAACAAAGGCAGACAGCTTCAACTGACAAATCAGAGTTTTCAGTGAGTTGCCCTTTGTAACTTCTGTGCATAACCTGTGGATTGAAATCCCGAGTGTGGTCCCATAATAAAGTGTTTGTATTTACACTATACGGTTCTGATAAGAAACATATTTTGGTGGTCTTGCAGACACAGTCCAACCACCCATGGGGCCAGCTATTATCAAGCTCTGCTCAGCAATCTCTTAGTTTGTAAGTCTGGCTCAGTTGAGCTTACATGTAGTACCATTGGAGAGGGTGGTAATGGGTAACATGGTGAATCAACGATTGGGACAAGCCTTCTAGCCAGTCCATATGCTACTTTACTGTGACAGTGGTCAGCTGGCAGGCTTGGAGGCCTGTCGTGTCTAGGTATATATAAATATGCCTGGCTTCCGTTTCCAAGCCGTTTTGTGAATTTTTGCTTGAACTTTGCGGCAAATCCTGTTGAAGTCTATGGGGGAGCAAATCTTGTTGTTCAATTCTAGCCATTTGCAGGGGTAATAAGCAAGCAATTCTCAAACAAATGGTGTGGTAAGCCAGACACTGCCATGGGCGACATGTACCAATGCTACAATTAAAACAAATTAACTAATACATATACCGTATTAAATAAAATAAAAACATCTCTCCCTAACAGTGTCAACACACGCTGACAATATGGCTGCTGTAAACCAAGCCTTTTATAGAACAGAGGAGAGAGAATTGTCTCTTTAAGTAGAGCTAATTTCCATGGGGTTTTCCTGGCTACACACTGCGGCCAGATTTTTATGAATGGAATGGAATGGGCCGCAAAGTGTGTAATACGATGGCGCACAATGGTAAATGCCCCTTAGTGTGTACCGTTAGCACAATGTAAATTGTTTCACGCAGACCTGGGTAGACTGCTACCTCCTCCTAGCACGTTGGGTGCCAAAGTGCATAGGTGAACTAACTTTTTGTGAGTGGCCTATTTTGTGACTGCTGCTCTGGAGCACTTTAAAGCCAAAGCCCAGTCATAACTCTTAGTTTTGTTTTGGATAGAGCTGGGAAATGTTAGAGCCCCTGTCAGGTTCGAATTGCCATCTGGGTCTCTGTTGTAGAGATTTACTCACACTGTCTCTTTCTGTCTTGGCGACAACCTCTACCCCCCACTGGTAAAAAAAAAGTCGTGGAAAATCTCTCAACTCGGGCAAATAGACCAAAGATCAATCCCAACAGAAATGTTAGCTCTTCTCTACCCTATTCAAAAGTAAAATAAATATGTAGCGTTAGGCTTTAAAAAAAAATTACTAGGAATCCGATTTTCATGGTATGGACATTTGAATTGGACTCATTTAAGAAAATTGAAAAACACTAAAATGTGTAATTGTTGCTTATTTGTTCCAGCGGGCATGGTGCTTTCCAAGGAGGAGTGATCGGCATGGCATTTGTTGGCACAATTTGCTCACCTAGACTGGGCAGCTCCATCAGTACAGTAAGTACATATGAATTACCCATTATGATAGATTCATGAAAACTGGAGCAAGAGCAATGGGACAAGATTCCCCAATTTCATTAAGCCTGGGATCTACTTCTTGCCCACAAATTTGAACTGCTCCCTGCTGATCATATAACCACTGCAAAGCCGCCCCCCCCCCCCCCCCCACAACCACCACCTCTTCC